AAAAGTTATAAGCAGTTTTTTAAATAATTAGTTTAGTAAAGAATTTGTGTACGAGTGATAAACGGAGAGAGTTTTTTAAGTTTTATTTCTGATATATAATTAAAAAGTAATATTTTTACTTTTATTATTTAAATATTTATTTTTTTTATAAATATTATATATATACAATTAATAGCTAAATAAATATATAATATAAATTAAAAAAACTCTTTCTCGTAAATCTGTAAATCATTAGTAAAATAAGAAAACAAACAAATAAACAAGCAAAGCTATCCAGAATATAATTAATATATCTGCAAGCATAAAGTTCTTTAGAACAAATTAGTCATACTAGATCGAAAAAGCATTATAGTACTGCAAGCAAAATGCAAAGAAAGCATAAAAACAAAAAAAACTATACCACACTATCTAGCACTCTCTTGTAGCTACTCTTTAACATGTTACTACAAAAGTCTTACTTACAATAATTTTTTGAAAAACTCTTTGGCATTACAACACCCAATGAAGACTCATTTGACCCAAAAAATCCTCCACAATCTACAACACAACCACTTCAGACTACACTGTCACAGTTCGAATCCCGACCCATGTGACTTGTTAGTCGGGAATAAGTCAGGTGCTGAGGTGGGCATGATTAGTGATGTAATTAATTAGAAGCAATTAGTAATTGAAAAGTCAAATCGAATGATAATTGATTTGCATGAATAATGTAGTAATAGTTACCAAAACGATTGGAATTGCATAAGTAATGTAGTAATAGATAGCGATTAGTATCGCGGGAACAATGTAGTAATACTTTCGTAGTTAATAATTTGCTTGTATTATGGTAAGAAAAGAGAGAATATAAGTAGAGGGAATAGCGAAGATGAGATGCACGTTCTTCCCTCATAACATATTAAATAAATAAAATGATAACCCAGTACTTTGAATAAGAAAATAAACGTTTTATTAATAAATAATTAATAGTACATAAACTTTCAAACATTTAGGTAAGCTAAATAATAAAATAGTCTAAGTAAAACACTAAGAGGCGTCCCTTGAGCTACTAAGAGCGAAGCTATTATCATCTGGCCTGGATATTTAGAGGACATAACGTCCTTTAATTAACTCCATAACAACTAGGACCTGGGTAAATCACCAAGTCTCTCACTTGACGCCATATACGTGTTTAAAGAAAAATCATTAGTATAATAGTGATTGGTAGGTTAAAGATAATACAAATGATGACAACTGATAAGACTAAACCTTTTTATCGTGGAGAAGAAGGAGAAGACATCGAAGGGTTCTTGCTTGATTTCGAAGCTTATGCCACATCAAAAGATTGGGACGATATCTGTAAGCGACAAGTACTGGGTCTATTCATGGATGATCATTTGAGGCCATGGATAAGGGGCTTGATCAAGACTAAGACCACTTGGGCTGACTTGAGGAAGAGTGTCGTCGATAGAGCGTCTGCTTCTTATAGTACTGAAGAAAAGATAGATAGGTTGATGGGTATGAAACAAATGGTAAACGAATCTATTACAAGTTATACTAATCGATTTGAAGCATGTTTGGAACCGGTGGAAACAGAAATACGGGAGAGAGAGAAAAGATGATGATATGTTGCTGGGCTCAAGGGTTCACTTAAGGAAAAGATAGAGGAAAAGTATCCAGAAACATTTATGAAGGCAAAGAAGCTTGCCCTGCAGATCAAAATGTACAATAAAAATAACGAGTATGATGTGAAAAAGGCAACAAAAACGTTATCTGAAGAAGCGTCCCCAACTGCAAATGAGGATGCAGAAGTAGTACAACTGACAGAGGCATTTGAAAACCTCAAAATACGGAGCGTGAAGACCTCAACAAGTGAATTAGAAGAAGTCAAAGCTATGGTGAATGAGCTTACTAAAACTATGAATGAGGTAACAAGAAAACTCCAAGACCGAAAAGAGCCAAAACCGCGAAAGTGTTTCACATGTCAAGAAATTGGGCATATATCATGCAACTGTTTGAATAAGAAGAAACAAGAGAGGGTGAGTCGAAAAAAAGAAAGAAACCTGTACCAATGGTCAAAAAGATGGATGTGAGATTTTTCGAGTTCGTGGATAATAAAAAATGTCATTCCATAAGAACAACAATTAAAGAAAAGGTGTTAGATGCGGAAAACTGTTTAAAGATTGAAATAAACACCGAACAAGAAACTTTTAATATTAGGAACTTACGAAAATGTCGGCATGTGGTGGAAGAAGAACGTCCTAATAAGAAGGAGAAAATAGTTGATAAAAATGACATGACTGACGCATAACAAAAAAAGACGGTAATGTACATTCCTATATCAGAGTTAGTTCAGGAATTTGATATGTTGCAGAAAATCGCTGAACTGGAAGTGACTGTAACCTTGGAATAGCTCTTTAAGTGATCTCCGAAAGCAAGAGCTGAAGTCTTGAAATCCTTGACCCGTTACAAGAAAGAGAGTGATGTGATGCAGTTAGATGCTAAGATTAGTCTTGTTAAAGTTGTGAGAAGAAAGACTGATCTAAGTGATAATGAAATAGTACCTGTCTGTACTGTGCATATTAACGGAGATATCGTTAAGGTACCAATAAACCCAGGGTCCCAGTTAAACTTGATGCATAAGGATTATGCTAAAAAAAGAGGCCTTGTTTGGCAAGAGGTTGATGGGAAGAGTAGGATGGCTGATAATTACGTAAGCAAGTTCGTCGGCTATATGACTGATATAGAGATTGAAATGGAGGGAATAACGGTTAATGATAGGTTCTATGTTATGGAAAGTGCCAGCTATGATGTTCTTTTGGGCATGCCCTGGATTGCGAAAGCCCGATATAAGCTGTGATGGCGTGAGAACCAATATTGGTGTACTGTTTCGTCTCCGGGTAAAGAATCTTCGTTCATAGTTTTCACGGTACCGATAGATTGGATTCATGGCTCTAATAAGACATCTAGATATGATCATGAAAATGATGATTTGAGTGATGAGAAGGATGTGTTTGCTGTGAGAAAAGTTGATTTGAACGAGGTAAAAAAGGAGACTTGTATTAATAAGGTAATACGCGGTGCTATAAAAAAACAACTTGGTAGAAGTTAATGAAATTTTACCTGTGGAAGATAATTATGTTGAATATGGAGATCAGATAATCTATTGGGATTTGTCGAAAGAAAGAGAGGATGGGTTAGTTAAGAGGCTAGATATACCTATAGTTATGAGAGTGACAGAAGAGAATTAGGTCAGTATCGATATGGGCTCTAATGTAACTGTAGAACAAAAGGAAAAACTGAAGCATAGGGTAATTGATGAAATTTCTGAAGTTTTCGCTTTTGATATGTCGGAGATGGGGAAGACGAATTTGGTAGAATATCAAGTGAGGACAGGTGGAGAAAAAGTGCCTCCTCTACGTTTACGACCTATTAGAATTAATAACCCAGAAAGGGCGATAGCATTTGAAGAACACTTAAAAGAAATGATAAAGTGAGGTGTGTTGGAAGAAGGAGTTGGAGAATATGCCTATCATTGTTTTCCCGTAAATAAGAAAAAAGGAGGGACGGGTAATATGTGTGCAGTGGGAAATATGAAAACACTCAATAAATATATAGTGAAAGATAGTTACCCACTTCTGCTAATACGTGATATTTTGGAAAGAGCAATTGGGCATGATTGGTATAGTACCGTCGACGCCTTCAAAGGTTATTGGCAAATTAAGATTAAAGAGAAGGATCATGATATGGTTGCAGTGTCAACATCGTTAGGGGTGTTAAAGTATACTGTTATATGCATGGGATTGAAAAATGCAAGTGAAACATATCAATGATTAATGGATATTTTGTTAAAAGGTGATGAATAGAAAGAAGTGGCTGCTGCTTACCAAGATGATGTTGGAATCTGGACAAATGGGAGTGTTGAAAACCACGTAGAAGTTTTTATCAAATTAGCTAAACACTTTAAAGAAGCAAGCATAACGTTTGCTGCAAAGAAGTGTCACCTGCTATATAAAGAAATACCAATGTATGGATATTTGGTTAGTAAAAATGGGATACGAATAGACCCCAAAAGAATAAGTAAAATATTAGAGTGGTCTAAACCTATCAATGAAACTGAAATACAGTCATTCCTTGGCATCGTAAATTATTATAGAAGGTTTATAAAAAATTTTAGCAAAATAGCTGCACCATTGACGGATTTAACCAAAAAGGAAGTGAAGTATAGGTGGGATAATGAACAAGACTTAGCTTTTAGCGCACTTAAAAATATACTCACGAATGATGTCATTTTGAAAGGACCAGATTGGCAGAGGGCCAGAGAAGGGTTACGACCTTATCAAATGCACACAGATGCTAGTGACATTTCTGTGGGTGTGGTCTTAGAACAGCTCGATAATGAAGAAAAATTAAGACCAGTTAGTTTTGACTCAAGGAAGTTGAATGTACATGAGCTTAATTACACTGTGACAAAAAAGGAGTGTTTAGCGATAGTATATGAATGTAGAGTGAATGAAAGATATGTTGGAAGAATGGTATTTGATCTATGGACTGATTATCAGGCCATGGAGTGGCTCTTTAATAAAGTCGAATTAAGAGGGCGATTAATGAGATAGGTTCTAGCTCTTCAATCATTTGAGTTTCGGATCCATTACAGACCTGGCCGAAAGCATGGGAATGCGGATAGTATGTCCCGATTTCCTGGGGACATGCCCAATGAAGCAATTACTGATAAAGAGTTCGTTGATAGTATGTTAATGAGAGTGGATATAGAAAATCCAGTTATCAAGGACTTAGTGGAGGTTGAGTATTACCTAAAGAATCTGTGTTGGTGAAAGACAGTTCAGTCTGGGGACATGCCTTGACTGCAAAGGAAGCTGAAAAGATTCTGTTTGATTAACAATGTTTTGTTTGAGAGGGGAAAACGAAATTTACCCCCAAGAAGAGTTATTTATGATGATGCTGAGAAGGACATGATCTTGGCCACAAGCCATGAAGAGATATCAGAGGAAGGAGGTTATAGAGGTGTACATGAAACAGCCAGAGTGATTTTGCGAAAATATAAGTGGACGTGTGGAAATGTATATTGTGATGTAAAAAAATACGTGATGTCTTGCCTAATCTGTCAACGATGCAAAGAACAGGAGATTAAAGAACCAATCCACGTAGTCGGAACTAGTTGGATTTTCCACAAGGTCTTTTTAGATTGCATTGAACCGTTACCTAGGTCTGGTACTGGTCACTACTACATTGTGGTAGCGGTAGAAGATCTAACAGGGTATATTGAAGCTCGCCCGATTCAAAAGAAAAATGCGAAAAGTATTGCAAGATTCATATGGGAAGATATTATTACAAGTTATCACCTCGAAGCAAATAGTAGAGCCGAATGAACTGTACAAAAAATCTCTCACGTCTTGAGAAAGATCTGTGCAGAGAAACAGAATAAGTGCATGAATAGGGTTCCGCAATTTGATTTGATTTGATTTGATTTGATCAAATATTTGAACTCAAATCAAATTCAAATATAGAAATTTCAAATCAAATCAAATTCAAATATTGTTATATTTGATTTGATTTGACAAATATTTGATTTGATTTGAAAAACTATTATTAAAATTCAAATACAAATCAAATTCAAATCCAAGTTTTTAAAATCAAATCAAATTCAAATTAAGACAAATTTGATTTGATCAAATTCAAATTGGCCTAATATTTGATTTGATTTGAGTTTGAGGAACCCTAGGCATGAATATGTTAGAGGAGCGGTCTGGGCAGGGACGAACTTTAGCATTGATGGAAATATTTCTATGATAAGCACGCAAGGGTGAAAGAAAAGATAAATGTAGGTGATCTAGTGTTAGTATATAATTCAACTCTAAACATGACACTATCTAGAAAACTTGATTATTGATGGCTTGAACCATATGTAGTATGAAAGATTGGTGATAAAGATCAATTCTACATTAACGAAATTGATAGAAGTCCTTTTAAGTATCCTGTTACTCAAAATAGAGTTAAGAAGCTTAAGTCAAATTCCTTAAATGGAAATAATGACAATGGTAAAAATTTAAGAGTAGATTTTGTGGACGATAATCTAAAGGGGTATAGCTTGTGTCACAGTTCGGATCCTAACCCATGTGACTTGTTAGTCGGGGATAAGTCAGGTGCCAGGGTGGGTATGATCAGTGATGTAATCAATTAGAAGCGATTAGTAATTGAAAAGTCAAATCGAACGATAATTGATTTGCATGAATAATGTAATAATAGTTACTAAAACGATTGGAATTGTATAAGTAATATAGTAATAGGTAGAGATTAGTATCGCGGGAACAATGTAGTAATACTTTCATAGTTAATAATTTGCTTGTATTATGGTAAGAAAAGAGAGAATATAAGTAGAGGGAATAGCGAAGATGTGGTGCACATTCTTCTCTCAGAACATATTAAATAAATAAAATAATAACCCAGTGCTTTGAATAGGAAAATCAAACATTTTATTAATAAATAATTAATAGTACATAAACTTTCAAACATTTAGATAAGCTAAACAATAAAATAGTCTAAGTAAAACACTAAGAGGTGTCTCTTGAGCCACTAAGAGCGAAGCTATTATCATCTGGCCTGGATATTTAGAGGACATAACATCCTTTAATTAACTCCGTGACAACACCATCTACTACAAAACAAAATACTAGTAGCAAAAATTGCCTACTATACTCTCACCACACCTTATACATCAAACCAAAAAGTGGGCTTCTGGTTTACTCCAGTCTGCAGATCACATAGAATCACATGATATACAGATGACATCATCACCTCCGGATATCAACACAAAAAACCCAAAACAAGTTGACCCTGACCTCTACACCCCAGATTTAATGAAAATATTCTCACAGCCAGAACAAAACAAACAAAACATAATAAACCCAGACTACCAAATGAAATAGGTACCACAACAAATAAATATAGACTCACAACAACAAAAAACAACAATGCTGACCCACTCCGATGACTGAAGTAAAGCTCCAATAACCTTCAAAAAACCCAAAACATATAGTCAGACAGCAAGCAAAGCCCCACTTCATCAACCAACCATACAAACAGAACCATCTCTGTTATGAAACCTGTATATATTACACGTATTAGCACAAAGAAACAAGCTCTTCAACTTAGCTAAGTGGGACAATGACAAAATTATAGAAGCCATCCAAGATAAAGAAAAGATAACAGAATTTTTCTGACACAAGGCTAACTCACAACCTACCTCTTTTAACTTATCTGCAACAATTAACTCTAAATTCAACTACTATG